TGCACCGCTTTACTTGGCTGGGTCGCTGCTGCCGCTGGGACGCCCTGAGCAGCCCGAAGGCTGGGACAGTCCTGGGGCGCTCTCTGGGGCCAGCTCAGCCCAGGGGTGGTGGCTGTAAGCGTGTGTTCCTCCCAGGCTCCGAAAGCGCCAAATGTACGAAGCCTCTGTGATGAAGTACGGGGAGCTTGCGCAAGGTGAGGATTTGCTCTGGGGCTCCACGTGCGGTGCTCCCTCTCCCCCCCACCATGGAGCCAGGTGCTGACCTGGCTTGGGGGAAGCATCTAAACTGGGGCACAAGCGCAGAGCAGCACCCGCAGCCGGGAGCCAGGGCAGTGTGGTGGTCCCTGGCTTCCGCGGGAGCCCCCTGGCCCCAGGGCAGGTCCTTGCCTGGGCCATGACCGTACATAGGCACGGAGCGAGCTGTACATGATGCCACCTGCGTTCACAGATGAGGCCTGGACCGAAGTGATCGATACCCTCACCGTGGCAGCCATCAGGTTTGAGATGCTGACCACTGCCCACCGGAGCCAGGTAGGAGAGCGGTTTGCACAGAGCCAGGGCAGGCAAGCCGTGGGGATGCTGGAGCAGCTCCGAGCTGAGCAGCCTGGGCTGCAACTTCTCCCTGCCCTCAGCTCACCCTGGACCTGGAGGACAGCAGCATCTCCACGAAGGGAACCAAGAGCGGTGCCTTTGTGATGTACAACTGCGCCCGGCTGGCCACGCTCTTCGACACCTACCAGCGGGCTGTGGAGCGGGGTGAGCACCAGCCCCACTGCCCTCCTCCAACAGCCGCTCCTGGTATGGAGCTGCAGGGGCTTCCCGGGCATGACAGCGGTCTCCCACCTCCTTTCCAGGCACGTACCCACCTCTGCCACCAGCGTCGGAACTGAACTTCTCCTGCCTGCGGGAGGAGGTGAGTGCTGAGGAGGGGACTGCAGGGACCTGCGTGCCCTCAGCTCCAGTGATGGATGCTGCTGGCCCAGCAGGATCCGGCCCTCTCCGACACACGTAATGCTTTCACAGGGCGAATGGCTCCTGCTCTTCAACTATCTCCTGCCCTTCCCTGAAGTCCTGCAGCAGGCAGCACAGCTGCCCGCACCCACCAAGGGGGTCCGGATCACAGCCAACACGGAGATGGTGAGTGCCACGTGCCAGAGCACCCACGGGTGCTGCTCCAGCAGTCCCAGCCCAGGACAAAGCTACAGGGTGCTGCCCACCAGTGAGAGATGTAGGGGTGCTGCTGAGGGAAGAGACTGCACCAACCCGGTGCTTCTCCTGCTGCATGTGGGGTGGGGAAGGGCCCAAGACCGGCCAGACCCCGCCGTGCCAGCAGCAGCTCTCTGTCTTGCAGGTGTGCAAGTTCCTGATCCACCTCAGCATGGATTTCAGCTCCTACTACAACCGCGTCCATGTCCTGGGGGTGAGTCAGATGTCCCGCACCTGCAGTGAGCAGCCCTGCAGCCCTTCCCGGGGCTG